CGTCTGCAGTCTTCATATCCTGCAAGCCATCTAGCTTCACAAGGTTCATCGCAGCATTGGAATAATAATGCTTCCTGTTCCTTCAAGCTACTCTCTGCGCTATACAGTGTTCGGCACGGCTCTGAGCCTTACTGCTCGCCTCTGCTTCACGGCACTCTCGCAGATTACTTGCCTTCTTCTCGACTCACCGCAGACTACAAGGCAATCCACTGGCACTTGCACATTCGTCGGCAACAAGGCTGCACTAACGACCTCCGGTCTGAGCAGGGGGTGATGTAGCGGCGCTGCCGTCGCCGCCACAAGCGAAAACCCACCGAAGCCTAAAATCGCGCTATCAACATTCCGAATCATAAACAGTAAATATAGAACATCTCCGAATTATTACACGGAGCGTTGGCCGCTCCCCGGGCAGAACACCTTGCCCGGCGGGAGATCTCCCCTTTTCTTTCCACGGCCACACTGTTCAATCAGTCATCAGTATTACAGGCATCGTACACACGCGCGCATATCCCTCCCTGTTACACTTAAAGAAGTTGAGTTTAAAAGTTTTATGGCGGCGGAACCACCAAGACGCGGAGATCATGCAAGGCAATCATTTTCCAATGAGGAATACGCAGATATCTTTTATCTCTATGGACATTGTGACGGTGACGCTGCAGCTGCTCGCCGTGAATACCTACAGCGCTACCCTAATCGCCGACCACCCCATGTCACAGAAGATGAAGAAATTTTGAGTAAATTTCAAGAAGATCCAACCACTTCCACGAACATAGTTGCTCGTCGCTTAGGTGTATCGCAGTGGAAGGTCTGGTCTACTGTGCATACTGCGGGGCTTTATACGTACCACTACACACCAGTGGATGTGATGGAAGAAGGAGATTAATATTGGTTAAAAATAAAACACAAATTCCTTTGTCTGCTTAGAACTCGACTACCTGACCTCATTCTAGAGCTAGATAAATAGGGATGTTTTTAACATGATTTGCACAATTGATCACATACAATTATTTTTCACAAAATCATTTTTATTTTTAATTACTTATCTTCTGTTTGGAAAAAGTTGTACTTTTAGTAGCGTTACTTCGAAAATGATGAGACTTTTTGCACACTGTAGTATTGATAAATGAGTATCCAGGTTTTCATTAAGTGAAAATAATAAAATGAAAATAATACAGCTGTAAGTTTTTTTTTTTAGAAATATTTGACACCAGACTTTTGGGATTTTTGAAAAAAATAATTAAACCTAAATATCTCGAAATTGGTTCACATTTCGTATCGAGTCAACTAAGCGAAAACTTTTACCAAACTGTGGCTACAGTCATCGGTAGTACGAACGGTTATCTCTTAATCACGTGTACTCGATACTATATTGTAACTATATGTAAACAAACCTTGTGACTCAATATTAAAACGAACCAATGAAAAGGAATGATACGTTTATAAATGGATATTATTATATTTGTAGAGTCTTTTACTGTGTGTAAAAATAAGAAAAAGTATTGAAACTTATTAATAATAATGTGTTAATTAATGTAAAACAATTAATTAACAAAATACTGCTTGTATAATTATTTACAAAGGAACATTTTTATGTTTATAAAACCATGTTTCACGTCTTATGAATTGTGATTTCCGAACGCGACTTTCTTAAGGCGATACTCCAGCGAACGACCTTGAGCGTTTGGTCTGTCGACGCTCGCTACAATATATCGCGTAAGAAATCGCCAAAAGACGCCACCTACTGCTACGAACGTAGTATTATTTTTTCAATGTCAATGAACTATTCTATGGAAATAGACACGGCGTACAATGATAAATGTATTTTAATTTTCTTTATTCGGTATATTAGTTCCATTATATTAGAATTATGTATTCTAATATATTATCTAATTAATAAAAATGACTACTTTGATTATTTTTAACTATATACTATACCGCTAATATTGAATTAGCTTTTTATAGTGTAAATTATAATATTTGTCGAAATATTAATTATGGATTCGAACTTTACATGCTAATGGTGCTTCATTTTTGTTATTTTCATTTATTTACATATTGAAAATATACTTGAATAGTAGGTATTATTATTTTATTTAGCTACTGAATTTTAGGATATGTTTTACCTTGAGGTCAAATATAATTTTGAGGAGCAATAGTTATTACCTACTAATCTTTTATCTGCTATTCCTTATTTAGGAACAATATTAGTAAATTGAGTTTGAGAGAGATTTACTGTTTATAATGCTACATTTATTATTTTAATATTTACCTGCTGGGTAGGTAATTATTAAAATAATAAATATAGCATTAGTAACTAAATAGATATTTTTTTTAAATTTTAAAATTAAAATTTTCGTATTTTTAAAAATTACTAAAAAAAGGGTTTGAAATAATAGATTTTCTCACAAAAGAAAGGTACTTGAAAAAAAAAAGGAAAAAATGCGGGACCAAAGCCAAGACGCGAACCACGGAACTCCGATATCACGCTCGACCGACATACCACCTGAGCTATAACGACCGTTAGTGATTTCTCGAAATTTACCTTCTTATATTGTAGCAGTTTTTTTATTGCCTGAAAACATGGACAAAAGGACATTTTCTAAAAATAAATCCAAGCGTTCGTCGCTAAAATCGTTGGAGCCGTATAATTTTCTCATCTGGTTCGGTTATATAAATATTTAAATATATAAAAATTATAAATTAAAATGAAAAGATAAATATACATAAATCAATAAAATAAAATAAAAACAAAATAATATTATATTATTATTGTTATGGGGTATCTATATAGTTTTCTCATCTGGTTGGGTTCTATAAATATATAATTATAAATGAAAATGAAAAGATAAATATACATAAATATCAATAACATAAAATAAATATAAAAGTACATAAATAAGTAAAAGCCCAACCAGATGGAGGCCCTCGGCAGGGGAGACCAAACGGCCGAGGGTTAGGGGGAAAGGGAAAGAAACCGGCGGACGATGCGGACGGTATCGAGGAGCACCGCCTTCTGCATTTGAACCTGGAGCGGTCCGCCACGTAGTCCCAGCCGCCTCAGATGACCCGAGAGGCTGACTGGGATTAGCCCGTTTGCAGAGACGACTACAGGAATAATTTCGGTCGGCAGACCACCCCACATGTCGGTCACCTCGTGAGCCAGGTCCAGATATTTTGTTTTCTTGTCTGTTTCGGCTTTCACGAGGTTCTCGTCATACGGAATGGTAATGTCGACCAAAAATATCCTTGACTGTGCCCGGTCCATCAGCACAATATCAGGCTTATTCGCAAGAATAGTCCTGTCTGTGATGATGGCCCGGTCCCAATAGAGCCTGGCGCGATCATTTTCGAGCACGGCTTCCGGCAAGTACTTGTAATACGGCAATTTCCGATCCACGAGACCGTATTTCAGAGCGAGCTCCTGGTGTAGAATTCTGGCTACTAGGTTGTGCCTGTGCAAGTACTCAGAGTTAGAAAGCGCCGAAGAACCGGAGATAACATGCCTAAGTGACTCACCGGGATGGCGACAAGCTCGACAGATGTCGACGGTGCCATCCTTTAGGATGTATCTCCGATAGTTGTTGGTCTTAATAACCTGATCCTGTATTGCACAGACAAAACCCTCGGTTTCCCCGAAGAGATCACCAAAGCGTAGCCAGTGGAGGGAGGCTACTGTGTCCACGAAAGGCTCATGTAGAGCCTTGTAGAACCTCCCGTGGAGCTCCTTCTCCTTCCATACGGTCTCCCGGTCGGAAATGCTCTGCACTGCCGGGTCTTGCCATTGCTCGTTGGCTAAGGATAGAGGGGTAAGTCCTTTATCACAAGAAATGACGTCCTTATAGAATGGATCATCCGATCTCGCAAGGAAGTAATCACGGAGGCTGCACACTTCGCGATTATGCATGGTGAGCGCGCTCAAGAAGCCACGACCACCATGCTTCCGCGGCAAGTACAGCCTCATTACCGACGATCTCGGATGATGCATCCTATGGGACGTCATGGTAGTGCGGACTTTTCTATCCAGGGCGTTAAGTTCAGTCTGAGTCCACCTGAGTATGCCAAAGGTATACATGAGGACAGGCATGACCCAACCGTTATATGCGTGTGCCTTATTCACACCGGACAAAAGGCTGTTAAGCACTTTGGTCAAGCGTGCATAAAACACGTCGCAAACTGACTGTTTCATACCAGCCTCATCGATACCGATGTTCTGTGACATACCCAGGTATCGGTATGTTTCAGCCTCGGAAAGGGTTCTTAAGTTGACGGGCATAGATAAGTCTATGCCCTCAGAGTTAGCAACCCTTCCCCTTTCAACATGGAGGACCGCACACTTATCCGTCCCCAGCTCCATTCTAATAGAATTGCTAAATTCACACGTGATGTTTAGCAATTCCATAAGATGGGAGCGACTGGAGGCGAATAATTTGAGGTCATCCATGTAGAAAAGGTGGGTCACTTTTGTACCTCCTTTCCGAAGCTGAAATCCCTTCCCGGAGCCCTCCAGTAAAGTACTGAGAGGGTTCAAAGAGAGGCAGAACCAGATTGGACTCAGACAGTCGCCCTGGAATATACCCCTTCTTATCCTTATGCGGCTTTCCGCAGCCGTCATCCGCTCGCCTAGATGACAGAGGATCGTACTCCACTGCCCCATACACTGCTCGAGGAAGTCTCGAACTGTACAGTCAATCTTGTACAGCTCGAGGACCCTCTTTAGCCATGTATGGGGCACCGAGTCAAATGCCTTTCTGTAATCTATCCAGGCGGCGGAGAAGTTCCGACGGTTGCGTTTCACCACTTTGCCAATGACCGCGTCAATGAGGAGTGGTTCCTTGGTTCCACGACCGCCGCCCCGACATCCATTTTGAGCGCGCGACATCACCTGATTTAAGTCCAGGTGACGAGCGATTCTTGCGCTCAAAATGGATGTTAGTGTCTTGTATATGGTCGGTAGACACGTGATGGGGCGGTATTTGCTCGGGTCTGTGGCACCCTGATCTTTAGGAACCAAATGAGTGATCCCAGTAGTGAAGAGGCTTGAGAGCCTCTTGAAACTGTCGGGCGAGCACAGAGTGACACACCATGAACCCCTTCAGCCAGTAGTGATGCAGCCCGTCAAGCCCCGGACTTTTCCAGTTCGGGGCCCTACGGACCGCCTCAGCTACGTCATCCGGCGTTATGATGACGGGGTCCATGGGCGTAATACTCGCACACTGACTCGCCACAACTTCCGTCCAAGGGCCCTCGTTGTGGTTTACGGGCTCCGACCACAGGCTGCGCCAGAATGCGACCATGTCGGCCTGATTTGGTGCAGGGCCCGTTCCACTTACTATTGGTCGCTCCAATGATTTATAGAGCCTCTTCTGATCACTCTGGAAGAGACGATTCTGGTTGAACCGTGTCGACCTCTCGGTATATCGCCGAATCCGCTTTCCCCAAGCAGCTATTCTTTGCTTCAGGTCGTCTATGCGCTCCGTCAGTTTTTGCATTATATCCGGCTGGGACAAACTAACATTTGTCCCAGCAAACGCCATCCTGACGGTGCGCACAATCCTTGGCCTGGTATTGCCTGACCTGAAGCATATCAGTCTGCCGATGAGGGCCCTAGCCTTTGCGATACGTTCTTCAATTCTTATTCTCCAGGCTGGGATAGCACTACTTTGTCCAGTAGCGCGTCCAGCCGTGGAAAGTTTGGCACCTATAATACGGCAGACTGCCAGTGCGGCGCCAAAAAGAATTGAGTCCGTATCGCAAAGGTCCCGGCTGGCTTCCAAATAGGTAACCAGCATTGGGTTCAGAGCCCTCACGACAGCCCGATTCCGCTTGCTTAGGGCTAAGCGGGGAAGTCGCGGTCGATTTTCGAGAGTCGTACTGCGCGTTTCCACAATCGCCTCTTCCAATGTACTCCTCATTTGCTCTAGTTCCAGTTCCTGGGCGACTGTTCCATCATCGTTTGAATCAACCACAACTGGCGTATTCACGGCGGCATCCACATTTGCCGTTTGCTCAGCAAGTTGTGGCGCCGCATCCTCAGCCAGATAAAGGAACAGCCTCACGTCGTAGTCGTTCGAGTTCGGTGACATCAAATGTATTTGAGCGCAAGATATACCGAACTCGGTCTGCCAGGTTTTGCTCGGTGACGGTTACAGATGGCTCCAGCTCAGCAAAAAGTCGATGCATCCTTGCCCGATACGCAAAACCTCCAGTTTCTCCCCCTTTCGCCCTAAAATACGCCCGCAATGCGTTGCTGTTCATCTGGGTTGTCCAACGCATGCGGCGTACTCCACCAGTGGCGGGTGCCGATTGCTGAGCCCGCGAAGACCCTGCCGACACCAAGCCAGCTGGTGGGGATGATGGATGCGAGGAGCTGCTGGGTGGTCGTGCAGCACCTCGCGCTCGTCTGGCGGTTCGCATGCTGTCGCGTCCAGCGCCAGCTCCAGACGCGCCCTGGCGACCTCCAGGCAGCGGCCCTTTGCGCGTTCCATTTGATTCCATCATCCTTATTACTGTTATTATTATTATTATAAGTTGTGGTTCGGTGAAGCTGCAACCTAATGGACCATGATCTGAAATTTTTATGAAAAGAAGTGGCTGACGTCAATTATTATTATTCTTATTATTTTTTCATTACTGCCTTTTTCAACCTCACAAGATATTTGTAACTTCAAGAAAGAAAACTACGTATAAGTAAGTAAATCAGTAATATAGTGTTATGTATGATTCAGACTAAATAAAGGTTCCTAAAAAAAAAGACATAGATAAAGAAATTGCATAAAAAATTACTCAAATACAAATGCAATAAACTTGTTAATTTTATAGGTACTTAGTAAAATATTAAAATAATAAGTTTTTTAGGATATTTATGTAAAACATAAAGGTGATATTATGTTCTAACTACGTTCACGCTTGCGCATAAAAAACCGCGGAATTACACTAGTTTTATTATCAAAATAATAATTGACAACCCTACCCTAAGTTTGCCTTGATTTTATCAACTTATTTATTTGTGCATTTTTTGTATTTATTTTATTTTATTGATATTTATGTACTATATTTATCTTTTCATTTTAAGTTATAGTTATATATTTATAAAAACCGACCAGATGAGAAAACTATACAGATACCCCAACAATAATAATATAATAATAATAATATTCCACAACTATCACACAATAATAATAATATTCCAAAACTATCACACAACGCCATCTAGTCCCAAGCTAAGCAGAGCTTGTGTTATGGGTACTAGACAACTTATAAACATACTTATATATTTCTAAATACATAAATATTATAGATAAATTACACCCAGACACAGAACAAATGATCGTGCTCATCACACAAACATTTTTCCCGGGGTGGAATCGAACCCACGACCTACGGCATAGCAGTCAGGGTCACTAACCACTAGACCAACAGGCCTGACGATAAATAAAATAAAGTCTCTAGCTCGAGAGGAGAGGAGCCGTGGTAGCTCAGATGGTTAGCGCTTGCTAAAATTTTCACAGTGTGCGAGCAAACCGGGTTCGATCCCCGCCGGCACCAATAATATTGTAATTGCAATTTCAAGTGTTGATTTACCACGTGCTCAGTGGTGAAGGAAACATGTGAAAACCTGCATGTCTGAGAAATAAGAAAAAAAATATTTCGAAGACATGCAAAGTTCGCCAACACGCAGTGGGGCAGCGCGGTGGATAATTCCTTTCCTAGGATCCTTTCAGAAAATAGAATAGAAATAAAAAAAATAATAAATCCAAACTTCATTTAAAACCAAACATATAAATTGTAAAGTAGCTGCAGGTATCTATAACCAAATAAAAGATATTCCTTTACTCCAACTTGTCCATGTTTCCCAAAACAATTTTTAATTAAGCTTTATATTATAATGCGGATATTTTATATTTAAAATTTTAATACTAAAGCATTTCGTACGTCTCAGCCGAGGCGCAAATATTTTTCGGCCGCAAATTTATAAGACCGGTTTGTTATTCAAACATAAACATGGTTTTTTAATTAAATCTACCAATCATAAAACGACACGCATTTTTATTGAACACTTCCTATTCAATTCACAAAGTACCTATTATATATTTGTTTATATAAAAAAGTATATTTAAGTACAATCATAAAACTAAATGGAAACACAAAGTAGGAAAATGCATTGAGTTATAAAACACACAAATCAATGGGCAAATGTAAAAATGCTGGAGGCAGGCAACTCTATCGCATGTTTACGTACCGCACGGCTGTAAGATTTATTTATAAGATACTGCCGAGTTACAATATACCATGACGTAAGCGCATCGGTTGGTAGGTACTCAAATAATATTATGTTTGCGGTGAAATACGCGCGGCGACCAGCGACGCGGCCACCTCCTACGAACGCATACAGCGTAATGCCCTCTAATAGGCAGTAATCTATGGTAATGCCGCCCGCACTCTGCGCACGCCCCTTTATCATAGAAGTCACACAATTTTCGGAATTATTTCAATTAAAAGGGAAAAAACGAACTTAAAAATTTAAATAAAACTTGGAGAATACAGATTTTTTAATTATCTATCCATTAGTGTTATCCTCAAATGATTAGAGCGTTGCGTTTAGCAACAGATGCATGTAATCAAGAATTTTAGTCATTTTTTTAAAAGTTGATTTTAAATGTATTTATAGCACATAAAAATAAACTAGAACGTGGAATGCGATGATAAGATATCGAACATTAATAATGTACTTTTAGATGTAGTTTATTTTTCATAACTAATGAGATAATAGAGTCTGAAAAACGCACTTTCGCAACATCATGGTCAGGGATTCACCTTAAGATAAACATTTGACTTCGCGCTTCGTGTTGTTTTAATAGTTTAGTATTTTAGATTTTTAGATTGGTTTTAGCTAATTTTTGCTGAATTTCATAATGTGTCAAGAACTAGCCACACATTTTACAATAATAGTAGAAGTAAGTAAATGTAAAAGTAAGTAAAAAAAAATATAAGTTTGGATTATTTTTCAGTCTGTGTATTCATTGTCTGTTATATTTAATTATGTGATATTGATTCGTTCTGTTAAACAAAGCTTATTGTTTATTTCTAGGGAATGGTGATTAATAGAAAGCACAGAATTAGTGCACGGACTACAATGGTGTATTCAAAAGTACGAGGAGCTATGTGATTTGCTCCACAGCCAAGGAATCGAAATCTCGCAGTGAAAAAAGTAGCGAAAAGTAAGTTCCAGTTTTGTTGTAGGGATGATCGATGTTACAGAAACATCGATGTTGATATCGATAGCTTAACATCGATGTTCGATGTTTATCCTACTTAAAACATCGATGTTGGCCATTATCGATGTTATAGCACATGTACCTATTTAGTAGGTTAAAATTAGATGAACAAAAAATTAGTAGTGTTGTTTATGGTTTATTATTAATGAAATTAAAGAAATTAATAAAACGTTTAGTGTGAAACAGTAATTTTAAAAATGGGAAAACTTAGTAAATGTTTAGTTAATTTGTTATAGTTTTTGCCGATAATGATGAATATTGTTATTTTGATATTTAAATGTTCCTATATAATTATAAATCTTGTATTAAAAAATACTATTCTAATTTACAATTTAGACGTAGGTTTTATATTAACTACTCCTATCGCGAAACAAAAAAATGATTACAGAGGAAAAATTAACAAACTTAACAAAAAGAAAATAATAGACTTTTCCGTCACCTTTTATTTTTACTCTACAATTTTTAATCAGGCAGCCCAAGCAGTAAGTATCCACAGCCGTTTATTAAATGCATTGTAGAATGCACTATACAGTGAAATTGTCTATGCTCACGATCGCCGAGTAGTTTATTTTCAGAAACTTCAAGCAAACAATAAACTTGTTATACCAAGCTCAAAAAAAAAAAAAAAAAACAGCTAAATATAATTAAATTGTGTAGATACATATTCTTTCAAAATTATGTGTGTATAGACAGCAAGGGCAAAGTAGTTAATTTGAATATCAATTTATATAGAATAGTTATTAGGCGACAATTGACAACGACACCACAATAACAAAGCGAAAGCAGTGACAACTGTGACATAGACAGTTCACACTTGACAGGGTGTTTGACACAACATAATGATATTTTTTTAGGTGATCGATGCATTTAGGAATTCAAAATTTTAAACCTTTAGTGGGAGATGAAATATTTAGTTGATATTGATTTCGCGGGTTCGCTTTGTTCACAGGTTCTTATTAATCGATTATTGGTTCATTGACATCGATGTTTGACATGTGGCAACATCGATGTTTCGATGTTTAACGTGTGGTAACATCGACGTTAAAACATCGATGTTTTAATTTCTAACATCGATGATCATCGAACATCGATGAACTATTCGTTCCGAGACTAGATGGCGCTGTCGGTTGAAAGATTAGTGATGTCATTTTCTGGAAAGCTCCCCTCGCTCTCGTCCCTGACACTAGATGGCGCTAGTGCCGGATACATGACGTCGACTTATTTGCGCAACACTGCCCCCTCCTAAGACATGCCCGTTCCCAGCATTATCGGCCCCATAATAACGTGCCAAGCGATCCACATGGACGATTTTAGGAGTCCCTCTTGCGCCTTTCCGTATCCGGTAGGTTACATCGTTGATCCTGGTTACAATCCGGTACGGGTCGTCCCATTTAGCTTGAAGCTTAGGAGATTTACCTTTGCTGCGGACTGGATTGTGCAACCACACTAGTGAAACTTCGTCGAAGCCTTTATTGTTAATTTTGCGGTCGTACCGGGTTTTCATCTTCTCAGACATTTGCTGGCCCGATTGTCTGACGTGCTCATAAATGTCATTCATTTTGTTCCGCAAGTCACTTGCATAATCGGTTATAACTGCGTGGGGCATCAGGTGGTATCCCGGTGATCAGGTCCGCAGGCAGCCGTAATTTTCTTCCAAAGTTTGCGAAAGCTGGTGTCACTGCTGTACTTTCGTGAACAGCGCTTCGATATGACAACAAAAACGGTTGTATGTGCTTGTCCCAATCTCGTTGCCGATTGTCTACAACTTTTGCTAGGTACCTCTCCAATGTCTGATTAAATCGTTCTAC